ATGCCAGGAAGGCACTGATTTCCCATTCTGCAAAATTCCTTTTGTAGCTCAGAAACGTGCATGTTAGCACTTTTTTCCAAAATTATTCCCCTGTTCCTGGGCAGTCAGCATGGTGTCTCAAAAATAGATGGTGGTGGTGGGGTGTTTTCTAAAACATAAACCTGGAATTGTTGCCAAAGGGGGCATGTTCTCTAAAGCATGATCCCGTCCATTATAAAAACCCCTAACTGAAATCCATTCTGATTTTAACACGGGCCTTGGCAGGCAGCGATGCTGTTGTACCCCAAGGAATGAAGCTTGAAACTCTGAATGAAATTTTGCATGGCTAGATGAGTGTGCTAAATGGAGCTGAAGGAAGCCAACCAGCCCTTTCAAATAAAATTGCTGAGTGAAATTACTGAGTGCTGATGTGTGTGGGAGAAGCAGCAGCAGAGAAAAGATACGGTGAAGGAGGGTATATTATATCTTATGAATTTTAATAAGGAAAATGATGTTGCCCTTTTTCCTGAACTGAATTTTGTCGTTTGGATGAGTTGGCCTTGCGGAGTGCTTACCTACAGAGCATCATACGCTTTCCACGTGGGAAAATGGTATCATCTTCAAACAGCAATGTTAACATTTTCCCAAATCGGGAATCTCTCCTTGACATGCTGTTTAAGTGCAATGGTTAAAAGGCACAGCAAAGCAACACAACTGCCTTTTCTATTCAGTACGGGAGCCAGGATGAAAACATTGATAGAAGGGACTCTGGGGAGGTGGCCGTTCCAGGAGTCCTGGAAACAATTTCTCTTTGATCCGCAAGCTCACCTTGAAGTCAAGCAGGTTTTGGGTTTTTTTAATGCAGGGAATGGCTGGTAGAAATTCCTAAAGCCATGCTTCCGGAGACATGTCTTTTTAACCATGGTGATGATTTTTTACAGACATTGTAAGAAATGGCACATGAGCTATGGCTTATGTTGGGGGAAGGGAAAGAAAATACCGCCTGCTTTAATCGAAAAGAATGTGGATGCTTTTCATTTATAACACAAACATTTGCAAATCATGGACGTCCATGTTCAGATCATGTCTCAGGAACGCTGTTGTCTTCCTTAATTTCACTAGATATGAATACTGCTGACTCGGACTGGTTTGGTCCCTTTTCTAATGGCTGGGTATCGGCTCCCAAACCAGCTAATAAATTTGAGTAAGTGAGCGGTAATTTAAGTATTCCCACTCCAAGTTGTCACTTGGGAGGACCATTCTAATCTCTCATTATTTTCCATACCAACAGCTCACTATTTGAATCAAGTATGTCTGTGACATGGTTGATATTAAAATGAGACGATAGGTTGCGTATTTTGAAGCTGGGATTAGAGCAATATTTTCAGAAGTTGGATGTTTGAGAAGTTCTGGGGTATGGGATCACGGGATCACCGCCACCCCCTAAACAAGAGGATTTACTGTTTCATGCCTGCTTGCTGACAGATCTATTTCTGTCTCTCCCTTTCTCCTACTTTCCTTCCCAATGCTTCAGATACAATAGCTACAGCAGCAGCTCTTACTCTTCTCCGCGACCTTACTCTGGTGTGAGTGCCCCAACAACACCGACTTCTCGTTATGGGACAACTCTCTCGCCGCCTCAAGAGATCAAATCTGACAGGTTTGTAAATTAATCGGTGTTTTGACAACAGTTCCTTTGTAGACAGGGTGGAGATAAATGTAAGCTGTTCTGAATGGGTACTGGAAGTATCTTGTAGCCACATCTTTTCTAATGTTGGAAAGAGAACATACAAAAATCTAAACGTGTTCATTTCCCACTCATTCTCAAGCCTTTCTCTGACTTGGTGTTAAGGTCTGGATGTATTTCCATCCCAGTTCTTCTACTTCCACTTAAATGGATAAAACAGTTGCTTCACACGTATGCTGTTCTAAGTATTAAAAGGTGAATTAAAGCACATTTTATTTCTTTCCATTTTTTAAACCAAATTCAGACAGATACATTTTCACTTCTGTCATCTTAAATCAACTATAAAATCTTGGAAATGTGCTTAGTTCAGAATTTTCTAGGCCATAATTTTGTCCTTCCTTGAAAATGCATGATATATGTCATTGTATTTCATCAGGGGCAAAAAGTTTCTTGCTGTAGGTACAGGAAACTCATACTAACCTAACAGTTATCAGCTCACTTTAAAAAAAAAAAAAAAAGGAAAAAAAACCCACACCAGCAACAACAAAAAAAGCAGTATTTTGAATAATCAAAATACTCTTGAATTATGTAAGGTATTAGGGAAGGAAAAAAGATAGGAAAATGTTATGGATACATGAAGGAAATTCTTCTTGGCAAGGGATTTGGACCACCAGAAATTAACTGACTGTTACAACCTGAAAGTAAATGACAGCCTCAAAGATTGTCATGCTGAGTTTAAGGAGGAAACGTAGATGTTTTTAATTAATTTAATTAAATAATTTAATATAATAATTTAGTTAAATAATTTCCAATTAGGCCAGATGGGCTTTGGATTGTTTGTTGCCAGGTTGGCCTCTATTTTGTAAAAATTCCATCTCCCATCCTTTTTTTGAACTGAAGGCTTTTTCAGGGTCCTTTGTCTATATTCCAATTATTTCTATTAATGATTTTTTTAATATTTCTGTATGTGTATAGAATACATGTATATATGTTTTATGTGTGTATGTATATATGTTTGAACCTACCTAATGCCTCATATCCTTTCCAGTCTACTACTCAGAATGGTTCAAGTTAGGTTTTTCCAGCATGCATGTATTTCTAGCCATGAGGTATTGATTTAATCCTTTTTTTCAAGTGAGTAATTACATTAAGTTTGTCTTTGGAGAAAGGCATCGTTTTTCATTTGCTCATCTTCCTAGAGTAACTTGCATCGATTTGTCTTTCCTAATCTGAATTAAATTACTGCTGAGTGAAACCATAATAAAGAACTCTAAACCGGCATTTTCACCCCCTTTTACCTTTGCAGAATAGATAAGCAAGAATTAAAGGTATCCCGCTGCTTTTGAAGTTTCAGCTTTCTAAGTCCTTGCTGTTGGAAGCTTCTTGTTGCCACTGCAGCAAAGAAACCCCAAAGTGGTCAAACACTGAGATGGCTAAAGATAGTTGGGCCTGTCCTGCAAGAGGTTGATCGCGCTGGCCCTGCTCCAGTAAAGGAAGCAAGTTTCATTGCAGCATGCACGTAAGTGCGTTGCTGGTTTGGAGCCAAAATGCCTTGGCCCCACAGGATGAAGCTGTAAAATTTGCAGATTCATGGAGAGTCAGGCCAGAGGGAAGCTCTGTAATCATCTGTTGTGACCTGAATGGGTCCCACAGAAGCTAAATTAAAGCCCCCTGTACCTTCATGTGTTTTCAAGTGGCAGCACATCACTTCTTCTGGAAGACATTTCAGTATTTATCATCACTGCTAGGAAAATATTTCATATTTTGGAGGCTGGTTTGTCTAGCAGCATCTTCCAGCCATTACACCTCATTCTGCTTTTCCCTGTGAAACTGGAAAGTGCTCTGCCTTCAACTATCAGATCTCTCTTACACGTTCTAAGTGTCTGAACGCAGCGCTTGGAGTTGCATCTCTGTCTTTCCCTCAGGTTACATTTACCGCTTTCCACCTCATGTGATAAAGATCTCTCTCCTCTTGTTTAAATGTGCAGCTTGTTTTTCACGGTACTTGAACTCACCAGGATTTCCGCATTCTTATATTTGAGGGGATGTTACAGCCTGATGCTTTTTGTATATTAGCCTCCTAGAAGTGTGAAACGTGTGTATGCCACAGCTGCATGTTGCCTGCAGAATAGATGCAGTTATTTCTCGAAAGATAATTAAATTTACAGGTTCAGGTGCCATTTTGCATTGTCTTGTTCTTTTTGGGTGCACTGCCATTGCAGATGTATAGTTCAACAGTCTCTAATGCCGTGACTGCTTTGAAGAAGGGCAGAAGCCTGCTTTTATTTCATTTTCGTGAAAAACATGGGTTGCAGAAATGCCCACATAGAGATCGATGGATAGAAATTTGCTCACTGGAGAGTAGGCTGTGTAGTGCATGACGCAACGCTTGGCGCTAATTAGTTAGTGGAAAGTATTGTGGAAGTTTTCACAGTCTTCTGTCAATGGTGTTTGCCTTTGATTATGTAAACGTTATTTCCTACCTCCTGATGGTAAAAATTTACACAGATTCAAACAGAAAAAAAAGTTAAAAGATGAGGGGGGGAGAGGAAGACACTTGATAAGAAGCAGATGCGTATCTATGGTTAGCTCCAAGGTGAGTTTTCTGCTTTCAGCTTATGGTTGCAGTTATCCAAGGACTCCACAGAAATATCCCTGTCTTTTATCATGCAGGGAAGAGCTTTAGATGCAGTTCCTGGTACTGTTTATCTGACCTTTGAGAATGAGGAGGAAGGAAGAAGCAGCATTTAGAGCAGTGCCCAGCAAAATTATTCATGCTCCATTCAGTTACCCTGACAGGCCTTTCAAACCCTTGGCTGCATTTTGCTTATGTAAACAAGAGCTACAACTTGGGTGGAAAGAAGCAGTGTGGTTGACATTTTGACATTCATACTTTTAAAACCCTCCTTGGCTAAGATCAGTAGGGAATCCAAAAGAGCAGTATAATTTTTGCAGTGCAAAAGAAACTAGATTTTGTTCTTTGAAATCCACATAATGTATATATTTCTGATTGTACAGCAGAAGAAAAGGCTTACTTGACTGTTTCTTGGTTTCTAAATTCAGCCGCAGGCTTTTGCCAACTTCTTGCAATACTGTTGTTCTCTCTCATTTCTCTGGGTCCCCTGTGGAGAGCCATGCTTCTGAAGTGCATATTGCAGCCATGGGAATCCTCGTGAAGGAGGGAAAATTGCAGGGCACTTTCTGTTCAGCCCTTCACTGGGAGAGAAGAAAGGGTATATTGGTTCTCTCATATCTCTCTGCTTGTGAAAGATGCTCCTAATGCAGAAGAAGTATAACCCAGACCTCCTGTCTTCAGCTGCCAGAGACTGCTTTACTCCATAAATATACTGCTCCCACTCTTCACGGCTTAAATCACCAATTAACTCTCTCCCCTATTCCCACAGGAAAAAAAAAAATTATCAATCTCAATTTCTTAACCTCATAAATTTTGGTAACAAAAGGGAAGAGCAAGTCATGGCTGGAGCACACCAGGGAGAAAAGCATTTTTCTGTACCTCTGAGTTGCTGCCTTGCCTGGGGGAAGGAAGTGTTGTAAGACTCTCCTATACTTCCATGCTTTGTGCTCACACCTAGGATATTTCTGTTTAGGCAAACAGAAATATCAGACTTTGAATCTAAGATGGTCACTGAAATTGAAAGTTGCAGCCTGGAATCTGTAGCTAGACAGCAAACTCATTACTTGGAAAGCTCCACACCCCTTCATAGTGTGTTTTTGGTGGTGAAGTGTATACGTTGTTGGTCATGGTCATGGTTAGACAAGACCCTGAAGGAGTCTAACTTCTAAGGCAAGAGCTCCTGAATTAGGCACCGGTTTTAATTCATTCCGCTGCCAGAAAAATATCCTTTGTTTCCTGCTGGTGCGTTTGCCAAGGTAGGTTTCTTCTGATGCATTTGCCAGGAGACGGTTCCCACTGGGCTTGATAGTCAAACAATAGTGCAGTTAGCCTAGCTCGAAAAGCCTTCTTCTCAGGGCACTGTGTGCAGAGGGAGCAGGAGTTCATGGTCCCCATTCTCTTCCCTCTGTCTGTTAAATCAAGTGCCAGAAAGTTCAGATTGCAAACCTGCACGTCTGGATCCTCTTGGCCAGTCAGTGTGAACTTAGTCTCCACCTCTGGCTGGTCCCTCTGAGGTTCTTCCAAATCTCCAAGCTTGGTAAGGGCCTGCTGTGGTGTTTGCAAATTATTCCTGTTTGATGCACTCTCCCAACTTTTCCAGACCAGTAGAAAATAGACTTAAGAAAGACCAAATGTGTTTCACATCCCTTAACCTGTTTTCTGTCTTACTTGCTTTATGATCTACAGCAGTACGTTACCTTGGGCTCCCGTGATGCAGGGCCTTGGATGTTGAGTGTTTATCTCCATGTTCTTATATATCTTTTAAAGGAAATGTACCTTCAAGCATTTATTGCTACAATAGGTGCACACAGACACTGAGCTTAGCATGACTAGATCATAGGTGATTTTTTCTCCATTGATTTTAAAGACACTTTAAACACCATACCTGAAGCGTAAACATGAAGTGCAACAAAAGTCTGCAAATACTCTTCTTCTGAGTTTTATTCACTCTCCAGGTGCCTGAAACAGTGGTTTTCTGGCAATCTGGTGCTTTTTTCAAATTTGTCTCTCTCAAAAACAAAACAAAAAAACCCCCAAAAACCTGCTTGAGAATGCTAAACAGCTTTTCAGTTAGACTTTCTACTAAAATTAAAGGTCCCTGTAATGGACAACACCAGGGAGGTGCTGCTGGATGAAGCTTCTTGGCAGGTTCTTTTTTTTTCATTAGCCATCTATCACTAGTCTGCACTCTGGAGTTACTTCACTCCAGCTGTTAAGCAGTAAGGAAAAACAAGAAACCTATGAAACAAAACCCACTATACAGCCTACAAAGCTGCTGTTCTCCCAGGAACAGCTCCTCTTTCCTTGGCTTTCTATTCTTTCTGCCTGTACCATCTTC